GAAGCAACAATGGACCAGTTCCTACACCTGACTCTTGGAGCTAACTCCACCACCAGTACGTTAATGATAATCTTGGTGCATTCCAACACAATAAGCTTTGATTAAATTTCAGAAATAATGGTTTTAACAGTCCCACAGACGAGCTACACAGAAAATGGAATATCTTAAATTACCTCAAGGACATTTGTATATCTGAGGATCAGAATCATCAAAAACCCAATTTATATAATAGCCTGTCTAGAGATTAGGGGTTTCTTTTTAAATGATGAAATGTGCGTGATTTAATAATTGCTGATGTAGCACATGTGTTTGAGTTACATGCAAAGACAGAGGCCTAGGAAAACAAAACAAAGAGGATCTAGAGTTCATTAAATTACACTTGAAGATTCTTCCTTATTTTAGATGATTTCTTTCTTACTTCTTCTGTCTGTATGTCTCTCCCTTTTTTGATGTTGGATCTTCTTTTTCTTGTAAATTTTTATCACATAAATACCTCTCTCTGGGTTCTAGCTCTGTGTAGGTCTTAGGTGACCTTAAGTAAGTCTTTCTAAGCCTGCCTTGTCTGTTTTTGACAGTGAGGTTGTGAGGTTCAGTCGAGCTAATGCATCATAAAAGTGTCTCTGAAACAAAGCAGTTACAAATGTAATAGGTATTAATGATTGTTCTTAATTTGCGCCAGCTTCTCATGTGTCATCTCATCTCCCAATAACCATCTGAGGTATCTACTGTTATTATCCTGTTTTGCAGTTGAGAAAGCGGAAGCATGGAGTGATTATTAACTGGGCCAAAGTTGTTGCATGGTTAGTTTGTGGTTGGTCTTCCTGAGTCCTCTGGCAGAACTCTTATCCAATATGCTGAAATACTGAAATACTGAAATGTACTTAATATGAAATATTTCCTTTTTTCCTAAAGTTTATCAACTGCTTGTTCCAGTCTCATCTGCCATATGGATATGTAGAAAATATATAGGAAAAAACTTTTCTCAGTAAAAGAATATAATTTTCTTTGAAGTTTGGTCATTTATTCAGCAGACATTTATTGGGAATTTACTGTCCCAGGAATATACTTTGCCCTGGAAATGCAGAGATAACAAGTCTTTTAAAAATGCAGTGTTCAAAGATGTCAGCAGACTGTTCTTAGAACGGGTTCTCTTGTCCATGTCGTAGGAGTTTCAGGGATTAGACAGTGAGCTGTAATGGAAAGATCAGTGACCTTTCAGAATGATCTTGGACTTGTCGATACAGGTTCTTTGTAGAGATGGCATTGAGAGGATGACCTGAGTGTGAGGCTGAGAGGCTTACTACGTGGTTGCTTCTGGACCTGGCTGGAGAGAGAAATGCATGCCTTGCCTTGTGCATCCCTTTTTCTTTTGGGCTGTGCTCAATCTCAATAGTTTTCCTGAAATAAATGCATTCTTCTCCCTAGACTTGACTTTTTAACCACCCCCTCCCCAACCTGGTCATAATATAAAAGATCAAAGTCTTGCCCAGTTTCAGTATTTTTGTCGTTATTCAGCAAAGTTGGTTTGTATACATCATTGCCTTGAGTTTTGAATGGCACTTATATAAATGTTTCTGCACAGTTCAAGAGAAAAGGACTTGTAATGATGACCTGACAGCTCACAAATCTTGTTAGAGAATTGGATCAGTTTAACAATTTTTCCCCCTTTTTCTTTCCCAAGGCTTCTTTCTGTGTGTGTGTGTGTGTGTGTGTGTGTGTGTGTGTGTTATTCTTTTGGGAGGTATTTTTTCCTATCTCTTCTCAACATAAAATAATAGCTGCCACATTTTATAAAAACAATTCAGAAATGGAAAATAAATTGGAGGGAGTTTGACAGTTTACAGTATTGAGCCTGCCTATCCAGAACTTGTTGTACCTTTCCATTTTATCAAGCCTTAAGAAAAAAACTGTTTAATCACTATATGTCATACACCTGACACTAATATAATGTTACATGCAGTTATACTGCAAACAAACAAAAACTATTTATTATGAAACATTTCAAACCTACTCAAACTAGGAGTAGTAGTATAGTGAGCCCCCATCCTCCATCATCCAGTTCCACTAGTTATCAACATATTGCTAATCTTGGTTCACCTGTATCTCCTGCCCTCTACCCCTTGGTGGCAAGTATAGTTTACATACTATAAATATTCACCCATTGTATGTAAATGATTCAGTGATAACAGTCTTTTAAAAGTATTGTTTTTATGCCCTCAGTATTTTGACTTAAGGATCTTTCTAAAGTGTAACTTAAGCAGATGTAAGAAAATCTTTAAAATATCAGGTCTAGTTTGCTGGCTTCCTGAAATGCAGAGTGCCTGGTGATTATTTTCCCCCTGGAGTTACCCTGTTCTATTTTGCAAGCTTTGATTAACTTGTTTATTTTCTGCTTTTTTCCTTCTGGGTATTAGTAAGCTAAACAAGATGTTTCTCCAATTGTACTAATGCATTTGTGTCACATTTTTCTGTAAATGTTAATTTTCCTTTTAACTGTGTCATCTGATAGTATTTTTAAATGAATTTCCAGCATATGGTATTGTTTGTTCACAATATTTTATATTAAGCACAGCCCTACCTTCTCTAAGTCTCCATAAGGCTTATCTGATCTCTCCCTTCTAATTCATATATTATCTTCCTTTATTAGTTTCCTTGGGCTACTGCAAATTCCACAAACTTTTAGTGGCTCAAAACAACAGAAGTTTATTGTCTCACAAGTCTGGAGACTAAAAATCCCAAGTCAACATGTTGACAGGTTGGGATCCCCCAGAGGCCTTGTGAGAGCCTGCGCCTCTCCTCATTTCTGGGGCTGCCAGCAGCCTTTGGCATTCTTTGCCTGTGGCTGTGTAATGCCAGTCTCTCCCATCTTCACATGGCCTTCCTCCTGTGTCTCGGTCAAATCTCCCTCTTCTTTCTCTTACAAGAACACCAGTCACTGGATTTGGGGCCCACCCTAAGTCTGGGACAAGCTCATTCCAAGACCCTTAATTTAATTATATGTGTAAATACTCTTATTCCAAGTAAGGGCATATTCACAGATACCAGGGCTTAGGGTATGGACATATCTTTTTTAAGGAATGCTGTTCAATGCACTGTACATTGCAAACAGCAAATTTCACTGAATTCCCATTTTAACACGTGCAGATGGAATGCTGGACCACTTCAGAATTTATGGTCTATTTGTGATGCTCTTCAGGACATTCAAGGGCAAAGTGAGGCCACTTAGCCTGTTGTCAGGATGATGGCCCAGCTTTCCCATTCTTCTCTTTGCTTCCATCACATTCTTCCCTGACCATTATCCACAGAGCTGCCAGGGGATTTTTCCAAAATGTAAACTGATTGTAATTCTCTTACCTCTTAGGGGCTTACCATGAAGCTTTGAATAAAGTCCTAACTCCTTATACAACTTTTAAAAAAACTATAGGTGTCTTCACACTTAACTGTTCTTCTCTCTGCTTAGATTAGAACATTCCTTCACCCTTCTCTGGCTGTTACTCCTACAGGATCTTAGCACAGATGCTTCTTTCTCTGTGGACCCTTCTGAGATCACCCAGCCCTTGCATGTCTCCGTAACTTCTGTTCCCCACTCTCAGTCTTGGCATTTGCCTCCTCGATTGTAATTACTCCTGTGCTGGCATCTTTTCATCTCTGAATTATACAAATGACAAGGAGAAGAGGCACCACATCTGTGCTGTTCACAGTTTTAGCATCAGCTTCTAGTATGCTACTCAGTTCATGTTTATTGAATGAAAAAGTAAACATAAAAAGCAGGGTTCTCGTTGAAGGCCCTTGCATTTCTTTTTTTGGGGGAAGCTTTTACCTCTTTTTCCCCTTCACCTATTTTGTCTGTCCCCACTCCCTTTCTCTGGCAACTATCAGTTTATTCACTGTATTTATGAGTCTGTTTGTTTATTCATTTGTCTTATTTTTTTAGATTCCACATATAAGTGAAATCATATGATAATCTATTTTTCTCTCTGATTTATTTCACTTAGCACAGTACCCTCTAGGTCCATCAATGTTGTCACAAATGGCAACATTTCATTCTTTTTTATGGCTGAATAAGATTCCATCGTGTATATGTACCACATCTTCTGTATCTATTCATTTACTGATGGACATGCAGGTTGCTTCCATGTCTTGGCTACTGTAAATAATGTTGGAATAAACAGAGGTGCATATATCTTTTGAACTAGTGCTTTTGTTTTCTTTGGGTAAATTCTCAGAAGTGGAATTACTGGGCCATACTACTTTTAATTTTTTTGAGGAACCTGCATACTGTTTTCCATACTGGCTGCACCAATTTACATTCCCACCAGCAGTGTACAAGGATTCCCTTTCCTCCACACCCTCACTAACACTTTGTATTTCTTGTATTTTTGAATCTAGCCATTCTGACTGGTGATATCTCACTGGTTTTGATCTGCATTTTCCTGATGAATAGTGATATTTAAGCATCTTTTCATGTGTCTGTTGGAAGATCCCAGATATTTCTAACTCCTCATTTATTTAAGAAAGTTTTAGGGAGAACTGGTTTACCCTGTAGGTTTTACTTTCTTACTTAGAATGGTTCAGAACTGCCACGTATCTTTGGAAATGGCTCACATTCTTGGGGACTCACTAGCAGCAGATCATCTGGTCAGATCTAGCTTTGATGGATCTGAAACTGGTTTGGTTAGTTTAGGGAAACCCTTGTGAAAATTGCCCTTCAGTGGGGCACTCAAACCAGTCTTCACCCTCAATAATCAAAAGCTATTTGGAAAGTGAAAATTTTGTGTTATTTGTAAGAATAACATTGAAATAAAATATTTTGTACATTATAATAATTTGTGAAAATCTTATAAAACTTTGGCTAATTCTTTCCCAGGGAATTGATATTCATAAATTAAATTCTAGGATGACTTTGGGAATACTTGTTTTTGTACTTCCTTTTAAGACTATTGCCTTGTGCAGGTATTTTTTTCATATGTTTATATTGATTAGCTATTCTTCTTTTATAGTTATGCCCCTTGGTGTCCATCCTGCCAGCAGACCGATTCAGAATGGGAGACGTTTGCAAAGAATGGTGACATACTTCAGATCAGTGTGGGGAAAGTAGATGTCATTCAAGAACCAGGTACTGTAAATGTTGACCATTAAATTCAAAAGTATACAGGGATTGTCAAGATGGCAGCATGAGTAGGGTGGTGGGATATCAAAACCATATATATTTTGAAAATACAGTGAATACAACTATTCCTAAGTGACTGGAAGATACAGTACATGAGCCAGGCTACATTTGCGAGAGCCCAACATATCATGGAAAAGGGTAGGATACAAAGCCATGACCTGGTGGGACCCAAGCACTCTCCCAACCCCAGCTCACTGGCGGGAGGAAGGGAATCAGAGTGGGGAGGGAGTGGAAGCACAGGACTGCTACATAACCAGTCCTGGTGGTCTGCCCTGGGAGCACAGACACACATTGCATGGTGCACTGGATATTGGAGGAGCAGAAAAGCAAGGTCCAAGATTGAGACTGCAAAAAGATTCCCACAGCCAACTACCCTGGGACAAAAGAAAAGCGGGTGCTTTAAATGTGTTAAATGGACAAGCGTTTAACAGGTGGACATCGTCCTGGCACACTCAGCCCAGCAAGTTGGGGACTTTAAGGAACTTCAGGCATCCTAACACCCTGGGTGGCAACACAGCTCTGAAGCCCCTTGCAGACATAAGCAGCATACCGTTCCTTCCCCTCCCTGTTGGCACTGTAAGCAAACCAGCTGACCAGCCATTGCTATGGAACAGCCTGGGAGCAGCACTGCCTACAGCAACCACACAGCTTAGCACAGAGGCTTCTCCCTGTGTGTGACTAACTGGCCCAGACCCAGAGGCTGCTCCCTTTATGCAGTTGATCAGCACAGGCAGTGGAGACTGGCGCAGAGTCTGGGAGGCACAAAGGCTTTGTTCTTATGGCAGAATATGTGCTGCTCACCTGCAACCCTGCCAATTCCCTAGGCCATCCTGAAGGCCACCCTGCCCATGGCAGCTTAGAGGATTAACTCAGAGGCTGCTCCCTGCGCAAGGTTGACCAGCACAGACAGTGGAGACAGATGCAGAGTCCAGGAAGCATGAAGGGGCTTTGTTCTTGCAGCAGAACACATGCTGCTTACATGCACCCCCCTCTAGTGACCTAGGCCATCCCGATGGCCGCCCCATGTGGTGGACCGGTACAGACAGTGGAGATGGGTGCAGCATCAGGAAGGCATGAAGGGGCTCTGTTCTTGCGACAGAACACACACCACTGGCCTGCAACCCCCACCAATGCCCTAGGCCATCCTGAGGGCCACCCTGCCCATGGCAGTTTAGGGGATTAACCCAGAGGCTGTCTCCTTTGCATGGTTGACCATCACAGACAGCGGAGATGGGCGCAGAGTCCAGGAAGCATGAAGGGCCCTGTTCTCACAGCAGAACACGTGCTGCTGGCCTGCGACCCCGCCATCGCCATAGGCCATCTGGAAGGCCACCCCACCCATAGCAGCTTAGGGGGTTAACCCAGAGGCTGCTCCCAGTGTGTGGGTAACCGGTACAGACAGCAGAGATAGGCAAGGCGACCAGCAAGCAGGAAGGGACTTTGTTCCCACAGCTGACACATGTGCCACTTGCCGGTGACCACTCGCATTGCCACGAAAAGACAGAAGAACCTTGTTTAGTCCCAAATCCCTCAAACACCGGAGAGAGAGCTTGGTGAGATTAAAATCACCAATCTTCTGGAAAAAGAATTCAAAATAAAAGTCATAAGCATGATGATGGAGCTACAGAGAAATATTCAAGAGCTAAGGGATGAATTTAGAAGGGAGATAACAGAAATGAAACAAATAATGGAATTTTTAAAAAAATTTTTATTAAGGTATGATTGATATACACTTTTATGAAGGTTTCACATGATAAAACAACGTGGTTACTACATTTACCCATATTATCAAGTCCCCACCCATACCCCAATGCAGTCACTGTCAATCAGTGCAGCAAGATGCCAGAGATCCACTATGTCCCTTCTCTGTGATACACAAACAATGGAATGTTTTAAGACCAGACTGGATGAGGTGGAAGAGACTGTTAATGGTGTAGAAATCAGAGAACAAGAATACAGAGAAGCTGAGAGAGATAAAAGGATCTCTAGGAATGAAAGAATATTAAGAGACCTGTGTGACCCATCCAAATGGAACAATATTCACATTATAGGAGTACCAGCAGAAAAAGAGAGAAAAAGGGATAGAAAGTGTCTTTGAAGAAATAACTGCTGAAAACTTCCCCAATCTGGAGAAGGAAATAGTCTCTCAGGTCATGGAAGTCCACAGATCTCCCAATACAACGGACCCAAGAAGGACAACACCAAGACATATAATAATTAAAATGGCAAAGATCAAATACAAGGACAGAGTATTAAAAGCAGCCAGAGAAAGAAAAAAGATCACCTACAAGTGAAAACCCACCAGGCTATCATCAGACTTCTCAACAGAAACCTTACAGGCCAGAAGGGAATGGCATGATATATTCAATGCAATGAAATGGAAGGGTCTTGAACCAAGAATACTGTATCCAGTGAGATTATCATTTAAATTTAAAGGTGGGATTAATCAATTCCCAGATAAGCAAAAGTTGAGTGAATTTGCCTTCCAAAAACCACCTCTACAATGTATTTTAAAGGGACTGCTCTAGATGGAAGTATGCCAAGGCTAAATAGCTGTAACCAGAGAATATAAAACCACAGCAAAGAAAGTAGACCAACCAAATGCTAACTAAATGTAAAATAACATCAGCTATCCACAAAAACAGTCAAGGGAAACACAAACAGTACAGAATAAAACACATAACAGATAAAGAGTAGAGGAGGAAGAAAAAAGAAGGGAGAGAAATAAAGAATCATCAGACTGTGTTTATAATAGCATAGTAAGTGAGTTAAGTTAGATGGTTAGATAGTAAAGAAGCTGCTCTTGAACCTTTGGTAACCATGAATCCAAAGCCTGCAATGGCAATAAGTACATATCTACCGATAATAACCCTAAATATAAATGGGCTGAATGCACCAATCGAAAGACACAGAATAATAGAATGGATAAAAAAGCAAGACCCATCTATATATATACTGCCTACAAGAGACTCACTTCAAACCCAAAGACATACACAGACTAAAAGTGAAGGATGGAAAAAGATACTTGATGAAAACAATAGGGAGAAAAAAGCAGGTGTTGCAGTACTTGTATCATACAAAATAGACTTCAGAACAAAGAAAGTAACAAGAGACAAAGAAGGACATTACATAATGATAAAGGGGTCAATCCAACAAGAGGATATAATCATTATAAATATCTATGCACCTAACACAGGAGCACCTACATATGTGAAACAAATACTAACAGAATTAAAGGGGCAAACAGAATGCAATGCATTCAACACACCACTCACTCCAAAGGACAGATCAAGCAGACAGAAAATAAGTAGAGACACAGAGGGACTGAACTACACATTAGAACAGATGGACCTAACAGACATCTACAGAACTCCACACCCAAAAGTAGCAGGATACACATTCTTCTCAAGTGCACATAGAACATTTTCTAGAATAGACTATATACAAGGCCACAAAAAGAGTCTCAGTAAATTCAAAATGATTGAAATTCTACCACCCAACTTCTCAGATCACAAAGGTATAAAACTAGACATAAATTGTACAAAGAAAACAAGGCTTACAAACACATGGAAGCTAAACAACATGCTCCTAAATAATCATTGGATCAATAACCAAATTAAAACAGAGATCAAGCAATATATGGAGACAAATGAAAACAACAGCACAATGCCCCAACTTCTGTGGGAAGCAGCAAAGGCAGTTTTAAGAGGGAAGTATAGCAATCCAGGACTATTTAAAGAAGGAAGAACAATCCCAAATGAATAGTCTAAATTCACAATTATTGAAACTGGAAAAAGAAGAACAAATGGGGCCAAAAGTCAGTAGAAGGACAATTGAGGAAAATAAAACAATAGAAAAAAGTAATGAAACCAAGAGCTGGTTCTTTGAGAAAATGAACAAAATAGATAAACCCCTAGCCAGTCTTATTAAGAGAAAAAGAGAGTCTACACACATAAACAGAATCAGAAATGAGAAAAGAAAAATCATGACAGACACCACAGAAATACAAAGAATTATTAGAGAATACTATGAAAATCTATATGCTAACAAACTGGATAACCTAGAAGAAATGGACAACTTTCTAGAAAATACAACCTTGCAAGACTGACCCAGGAAGAAACAGAAAATCTAAACAGACCAATTACCAGCAATGAAATTGAATTGGTAATCAAAAAACTACCCAGGAACAAAACTCCCAGACCAGATAGATTCACCGTTGAATTTTATCAGGCATTTAGAGAAGACATAATACCCATTCTTCTTAAAGATTTTCAAAAAATAGAAGAGAAGGGATTACTTCCAAACTCATTCTATGAAGCAAGCATCACTCAAATACCAAAACCAGGCAAAGACACAGAAAGAAAATTACAGACCAGTATCCCTGATGAACACAGATGCAGAAATGCTCAACAAAACATTAGCACACCAAATTCAAAAATACATCAATAGGATCATGCACCATGATTAAGTGGATTCATCCCAGGGATACAAGGATGGTACAACATTTGAAAATCCTTCAACATCATCCACCACATCAACAAAAAGGACAAAAACCAAATGGTCATTTCCATAGATGCTGAAAAAGCATTTGACAAAATTAAACACCCATTCATGATAAAAACTCTCAACAAAATGGTAGTACAGGGCAGGTACCTCAACATAATAAAGGCCATATATGACAAACCCACAGCCAACATCATACTTAACAGTGAGAGGCTGAAAGCTTTTCCTCTAAGATTGGGAACAAGAGAAGGATGCCCACTCTCCCTGCTTTTATTCGACATAGTTCTGGAGGTCCTAGCCACGGCAATCAGACAAGCACAAAGAAATAAAAGGCATCCAGATTGGTAAGGAAGAAGTCAAACTGTCCCTGTTTGCATGTGACATGATATTATACATAAAAATCCCTAAATAATCCACTCCCAAACTACTAGAACTAATATTTG